GATTCAACTCCTGATGACAAGCCACCATCCAGCGAGGAAGCAATGCAAATGGCAACAAATCCATCAGTATGCACAAGAATTACCAGACATCGGTGATCAACAGGACAGTTACTTGCAACTAGCAAGAAAACTGTAGGACACGCAGGCAAACATTGTCATAAACCAAAGAATGCATCCAACCAAACAATCCAAAATAGACACATTTTTTTCCCAAGACAGAAAAAAAATAAACATTAAAATACTGTACGTATTTTACTGTTGTGATTTTTTTGGATACACCTGTATTGCAGTTTTTGTTAAATAACAGTTTTTGGACAGTATATTTTTGTATTTTATTGATTGTGTTGTTACACGTGCATTTTGTCAACATACTTGCAGGTTCATAAAGGACATGTACCATGCTCATTTCCCAAATGAGGAATTTCTTTTATCAGGACAAATTGGACAGCGCAAACACGAGTCCGCACAAGAGAATATTTACTGTATCATTATTCACATTTGGTTGAATGAGGATATTGCTATTGCAATCTATTTTCAGCAAATTAGTGAGACATCTTTGCTTCATTATGTGACTCACGCCCAGTTACCACAATGCTGTCTTTGGATATCCTGTTTAATGACGTTGCACATGATGTTTTATACAATACAATACAATACATCCTGATTCATAAAGCGCTTTCACAACAGCTACAGTTTTGCCAGTTCTCTTAACTTTCTTCAAGTTGATATCGCACACACGTACTGGTTCCACTTTCTTTTTGGACATGTCATTCCATGCACAGGATCGTGAGGTGCAGGCTGAAGTGGAAAGGCCCAGACTCATTGCCATCTCAACCTTAAACATGATTGCTGGTGCATGGCTGCAACATGAACCAACACTGAAACAAAAAGACTCATAATTCAAACTGAAAAATAGAAAACAGTTGAACATTATTTGTGATTTTATTGAGACAAAGGTGTAAATATGTAAAATCTATATTAAAGTTGTGTTGAATCTTATATCTCTTTAAACTTCAACTACTCTATATATTACATCAAACTCACAACAATTAAACTCATTATAATTCGTCACACATAAATGTTAGATACAGTTAACAACTACTGCAGTGTTTTTCAAACTTTTTTGAGCCAAGGCACACTTCTTTCATTGAAAAAAATCTCGCAGCACACCACGAGCTGAAAATGTGAAAAAAAAAAACGCTTATTTTAACAATTAACGTGTTATATTGTTACTATAACTGTTTTTAACATTGAAGAATGACGTTATAACAGCTTGAATTGGAATCAAATGACCATAAAGAAAAAAGTATTTCAAATCTTTCATATTTATTGTTTCACTGTCCTGCATTCATGCGGCACAAATTCGCTTGTCTCTAGTGGTCGAAACATAAGGCAATTGGCTCGCTGTTGCTGCTCCCTAGCGGTATGGGACGGTACTACACAATTACTTTCTGGGCAAAAGACCGCACAGGCATACAAATTGGATATTTTACCGCGGCACACCTGACAATGTCACAGGGTTTGAAAAACACTGAACTACTGCATGGTTATTTGCTAAATGATCCTCTCAGCATTTATTAGTTTGATAATTGAATTACTGTATTGGCCCGAATATAAGACTGCCCTGATTATAAGACGACCCCCTTTTTTTTCAAGACTCAAGTTTGAAAAAAGACTTTTTGAACAACAAATGAATTTTTATACAGAAAATAATTACAGTACATCTAAAACAAATCATTATAACAATATATTTCAGAGAAAAAGCATGTTATTTTGCCTCAATCAAATCTTAATATCTGAAGATTTAAATATGTAAACTCAGTGGCGGGCTGTGCATTTCAACCTTAGGCCTTCAGTGACGTCACATACATGAACACAATACTGTATAGGCTTGTCAAGCAGCACTTAATTTCAGGAGCATTTAAAACCAATGTCGCAGTTTCATATAAGACACCAACCAAATAATAACAAAACAAACTATTATTTGAAAATAAACAGATCATTTGCATTTTGAAAATCGGCGATACAACAGCAAATGACTGAAAATGTTGAGCAGCTGAGATTTAACGAACTTTCGTGCACGAAGGTGACTACAATGCGCCATTATAAATTGCAGGTGAGCAGATTTATTCGATACAATTTTGTATCTTTGTCATTTTATTTCGTTACCATGAATTTAAAACTAACGAAATAAAATGACAAGAAGAAATGTAAAATAAAATTAACTGACTCACCAATGTAGTTCTCCACAGCGTCTGCTTATTTTAAAATAAATAAAATAATCCTTTCTTTTCTCAGGAACACTTCAGTGGCTCTGTTGTACAGTTTTCAGGTCCATTAGCAAGTCCTTTTCTATCGACATGGAAGCTAATGCTGAAAGCCGTTTTTGTCC